TGGAGCAATGGGATCTGCCAATAACCTGCTCCAGTTGGAATTTCCAGCCCATTCCTCACCCTCCTTCCCTTTTAATGCTTTTTGGGGAATCTGATTTCACATTCTCATTTAGTCTGGGCTAATTAAACTCCACCTCCTGACACTTGGGCTGGAGCAACTGCACTAAGTCAGGCTTAAATGCCCCAGCCAGGCCTGGCATTGCAGACATATTTCACAGGGCAGTAACGAGCCCAAATTCCAGGTATCCCTCTTCCCTGCAAACAAGCTGTTTACTCAAGGAAATTAAAGCCAGCACCGTGCATGCTGAGGAGAATTTTATTTGGGTTTTTTTGTGTGTTTGAAAAACAAAACAAACCAAAAAAAAAAAAAAAAAAAACAACACAAAACTCACGACCCTCCCGGGCCGTTAAAGTTTGTGCATGATTGATTTTGGGATGAAAAGAGCGAATTTTTTTTAATTTTTGGGGTTTTTTTTTGGTTTTTGCCACGTTTCAAATCATCCAGGGAGACTTTTCCACCCCGGGAGCGGGGTGTGCGTTATCCCAGATTTAATTGTGGAGCCTGGATGTGTGCAAAGTGTTCCTGAAGGTAATTGGATGAGGGTCACTGCCTGCCCTGAGATATATGGGCACAGTAATCAGAGAATAATTTCGACCCGGGTTGGAGTTGCCAGTAAAAGTTGTAAAAGTTAATTTTATAGGGGCTGGGACAAAATATGAGCGAGAGCAGGTTCGGGGTTCTGGTGTATTTGCTTTGTCTGGTGACGTTTTTATGATGTTTTATTATTATTATTTGTGTTTTAAATGCAGTTTGGGGCAGAGGGGAGGGAGGGCTGAGCTGATTAGCAGCGTGTGCAGATGGCTCAGGCACAGGAGGAGGAATTCAGCACTGACAGGAGCTGCCCTGGGCACCACCAGAATTAACTTGTGGGGTGATTTATTTTGTTTTTACCCTATTTTTTTTTTTTTTAACTTCCCCTTGATCTCCAGCAAGGAGCAAAGCCCTTTATTGAATATTTAATGAGTGGGTTTTTATATTCCTGCGTGGATGAAATCTCCCAAACTGCTGTGCTGGCTGAGCCCTGTGGGGATCAGGGATGGAATCACTGAGGGTGGAAAAAACCTCCAGGATGACAGAGCCCAGCCTTGGGCCAGGGCTCAGGGAATGGGAACAATCCCAGTTTGGGGATTGCAGGGCCAGGAGCACTCACTTGGTTTGGAACTTCATCACATTTATCAGGGGAGCTCATTCCTGTGAGTCCTTCCTTCATCTGCCCCTAAAAATATCCCACCGGGCATTTTCCATTGCTACTCTGCCATTTATATCCTTATTTCAGCTGAAATCAGAGAATCCTGGAATGGTTTGGGCTGGGAGAGACTTTTAAAGCCCGGGATTATTTTTTTTAATTTTTTTTTTTTTAACTGAAGTGGGACACAAAAGTATTTTTTGTAAATCCTCAATGTGAGGACACTTCCCCTGCTGTTGAAAATTCCCTTCTCAAGCATTCCTGATGTGGTTCTTAGGGGAGAACGGGAAATATTGATTATTCCCAGCACCAGCCTTTGCAGAGTTTCTTTTAAAAAATACTGGGCTTAATTATTCCAAGTAGGGAAAATATTTGCATTATTAAAAACATCTGCATCCAGCTGAGATTGCTCTTATCAAGGGAAACCTTAATTACTTCTGACTGACGAAGTGAATGTTTATTCCAATCTGCCTTTATGTTGATGATCTTGCTAATTAAGCACTTTATTTTATTTGGACAATTATGTCTAAACAATTGGGGAGTTACAGTAGCTCTAATTGGGGTTTTATTTTCTTACCTGCCTGAAGATTCCACAGGGCTTTAGGGAAAGAGGGAGAGGAAGGGCTGGGTTTGAGCCCTGGAGGATTTAAAACCCCAAACGAAATTTCCAGTTCCTGTTTCTGCCTGTGAAGGTTACAGGGAGAGGAGAAAAGTTGGGTTTATTCCTGATTGTTTTTTTTTCTTTTCGGTGGATTTTGCTTCTCCCAGCCCGGAATTGCCATTCTGGGTGTGGGGGCTGCTCCTGCCAGGGATCCCCTCTGCTCTGGGAGAGCTGGAATTGTTCCCCTGGAGAAGGGAAGGGTCCAGGGAGAGCTCAGAGCCCCTTCCAGGACCCAAAGGGGCTCCAGGAGAGCTGGAGAGGGATTTGGGGACAAAAGCTGGAGGGACAGGACACAGGGAATGGCTTCATATGAACACAGGGCAGGGCTGGATGGGATACTGGGAAAGAATTCCTGGCTGGGAAGGTGAGGAACCCTGGTGCTAACCGGGGTTAATCCAAATTTCGTTTAATTAATCCGAATTAACTGTTTAGTTAGAACAGGTGCTGGTGCCATCTGGGATGGGCCACACCGAGCAAAGGGGGTGAAGGAAAAGTGGGATTGGAGAAAAAGGAGGCTCAGGGGTGAGCTCATCACTCTGCCAGCTCCCTGAAAGGTGCCTGTGCTCACCTGGGGCTGGTCTCTCACCTGGCAGCACTGACAGAAGCAGAGCACACAGCCTTAAGGGAAATGCAGGCTGGATGTTAGGGAAAAGTTTATTATGGGAAGAGAGAGAAAATATTGGGATTGTGTGCCTGGGAGGTGGTGGAGTCACCATCCCTGGATGTGTTTAAAAAAGTCTGGATGTGGCACTGGGTGCTGTGGGTGAGCTGAGGGGTT